AACATTCTCAGGAAACACGGGGTTTGTGCCACGTTTCGTTCAGGAAGTGGGACATCCCAAAAGAAAAAGGGCATTAACTTTCCAGGAGGGGCTTTGGGAGTTTGGGAGGGAGGTTTAAACAGTGGGCAGGGGCAGAGCAGAGCAGGAGGAACACTGGGAAAAGGCTGGGAATCCATCCTTCCTGGCTGCAAACACAAATGCAATTCCTCCCCCTCCCCCGTGTTTTTATCAGAAATATCAGGAATATCAAGACTCCTTTTGTTTGTGCTGAAACCTCTCCTGCAAGATTCCACTGAGAGCCTTCCTTCCAATTGCTCCAGCCAGCGGAGTGCGTGGGAAAAGGGAAAAGGAAGGAGAGTTTCCAACAGCATCGATCACAAAGGAACCTTTCCTGCCTCCTCTCTTCGATTTCGGGCTCCCAAAAAAAAAAAATGGAATATCCCAAACTAGTTACCAGGGATGGGGGTGAAAGTGCTGAACTAAAAGTCACCCAAACAAAACTAAAAGTCACCCAAACAAACACAGTTTTATAATGATCCCAGAAGGATCGTTAAAGTGCTTTTTTTTAGTCATTAAGTTGTTTGTGGTTTTTTTTCTCAAAGCCCTTCCCGGGATTTTTTTTTTACCTGTGTCCCAAGATCCTTCATCCTGGCCAAGGCGAGTTCCCTCAGGTTGCCGTGCTCCACCCCAGAGCTCACCAGTGGCATGGGGATATCCCTGCATGGAAAAGGAAAAGAGAACCCTTTAAACAACCCCATGGGCAGGGAAGACACCACAAAGCTACCTAAGCCGAGATCCCAAACAACAGATCCCAGAATTCCTCAGAATTCCCTTGTTTTCGAGCCCTTGGTTGAATAAAATGGGTAAAACACAACTAAGAGCAGGAGGAAAACGGAGGGGAAATGCTACAGATTTTATTTAGGTAAAAAAAAATGTAATATAAAAGTTGGTTTTAGGGATTAAAAAATTAAAGGTATAAAAATCGTGATTTTGTTCTCAGTTCTTGGGAATCTGGGGGGAAAAAAAAAAAAAAGATCATCCAGCTGAGGTTCCACCTTTTTCTAGGAGTCCAGGTCGGATGTTCTTCGTGGAATCTGCTGCTGGAAAACCAGTAATTTGGAACCATTTCTGCAGTTTGGGAGCTGAACGTCCAGCAGGGAAAATCCATCGGGGTTATAACTTCTCTATTGTTGGGATTTTAGCTGCTTAAAAGCCAAAAAGTTCTGCTCAGGAAAGGATTTGCAGCGGCCAGAGAGTCCAGGCCCTTCCCATGGGAATGTAAATCGGGAGTCTGGAAATGGCAGGACTCCTTCCTTCGGTTTTCCAAGGGAAAGCACCGATGGAATTTGAAGGCAAGGCCGGGTTTGGCCTCTGTGCTGCCTCCCAGGGCAGTTTGTCCTGCTGGAGAGGATCAAAGCAGGACACCACCCCTCAGGGAAGGCAGGATTTATGCATCCAGAGCAGGCTGGGAAGGAACCACGGGGACTGTTGGTGCATCCAAACCCCTCGGATCTTCCACGGGGAAAATCAGGACGACACAAACATGGGAGACACTCAGCAAACTGGGCTCAAACATTCCCTGGTGAGCATTCCCCCTTTTCCTTTATCCATGCAAGACTCAGCAGCTCAAAGGACAGAATCATTCCCTGATTCCCCCCAGTCAGGGAATTACTGATGGAATTAGCTTAATTGGATCAGTGGATCCATCAGATACCCGGTACCAATGTGTTAATGGATCCATCCAGTTCCCTGTGGAACTGCTTTCATACCATTAACAATTCCTATGGTTGGCAATTCCTATTTGGAGCATTTTTTTCCCTATTTTTAGCAATTCCTACTTTTTCATCTTATCAAAGATAAAGGTCTCCAAGGGTCTCCTCCCAAAGGTCTGATCCTTGTGCTGCTCCAGCCTCTGCAAGTCCGAGATGTTGGCAAGGGGGGCAAGGAAAGGAGCTTTTCTTTACTGTAGGGAATAAAAAGAAGGGCTGGAAAAGACCTTAAAGCTCATAAATCCATGGGCTGGGACACCTCCCACTATCCCAGGTTGCTCCAAGCCCCGTCCAACCTGGCCTTGGACACTCCCAGGGATCCAGGGGCAGCCACAGCTTCTCTGGGCAACCTGGGCCAGGGCCTCTCCACCCTCCCAGCCAAGAATTCCTTCCCAATATCCCACCTCTCCCTGCCCTCTGGCACTGGGAAGTCATTCCCTGTGTCCTGTCCCTCCAGCCCTTGTCCTCAGTCCCTCTCCAGCTCTCCTGGAGCCCCTTTAGGCTCTGGAAGGGGCTCCAAGCTCTTCCTGGAGCTCAGGGTTTTCCTTTTATTCCTTGGAGCTGCATCCTACAGGATTTGTCTGATGGGAAAGTGAGAATTCCAGCCTGGAGCCATCCCAGCTTCATGGAATTATCAAATCCCATCAGGGTTTGGGTGGGAAGGGACCTTAAACACCATCCAGTTCCACCCCCTGCCATGGGCAGGGACACCTCCCACTATCCCAAGTTGCTCCAAGCCCCATCCAGCCTGGCTTTGGACACTCCCAGGGATCCAGGGGCAGCCACAGCTTCTCTGGGAATTCCTTTCCGGCCCCTCACCACCCTCACAGCCAAGAATTCCCAATATCTAATCCCAATATCTCATCTAAACCTACTCTCAGCTTAAAGCTGTTCCCCCTTGTCCTTGTCATTCCACACCCTTGTCCTTGTCATTCCACACCCTTGTATTCCATTCCCTCTCCAGCTTTCCTGTCGGGATAACCTGCTGTCTGGGCATGAGTTGAATCTGAAAGCACTGTGGAAAGAGAGCCTGGAAAGGGAAGCTGTGAAGGAAGGTGGACTCGTGGAGATGGAAAGGGCCCGGGATGCAGCGGAGAACGAGGGAAAAGTCACTCCCGTTGTTGGGAACAGCCCGTGGATGTTTTCAGAAACCTTGGCTTCATTCATTATCCTGTTCCTGAGTCACACAACGGCCCTGGAAGCAGTTCAGATCCAAGTAATAACTCCTGGGCTCCGCTCTGGAGGTGTAAAAATCACCATGGACCCGTTCCAGCTGCCACGAGCCGGGAAGCGGGAAAACCACTCCGGAATATCCCAACTGACAGCAGGATGGCAGCTGGAAGGGGGGCTCAGGGTGACAGCACACCAAGCAAAACCTTTTCCAGGCCTGAATTCCTCAGGAAAAGACCTGCTGGGCTGCCATCCTTGAGGAATAAACCTGCTGGATTTAGATGCAATGCTGCGGAGACGGCACCAGGAACGAGCTACTCCTCGGGATCTCTGTCCTGACCAAAAATTCCCACATTCCTGCCTTGTTTCACTCCAGGCTACTCCTAATTTTCGTGTTCTCTGCCCAAATCAATGTTCCTGTTTCTTAAAAGGTAATTCCTTTAAAAGGTAATTCCTTTAAAAGGTAATTCCTTTAAAAGGTGATTTCTTAAAATGTTCCCTGCCCGTGGCAGGGGGTTGGAACGGGATGAGTTTTAAGGTTCATTCCAACTCGAACCGTTCTGTGATTCCACAATTTTCCTTCTCTCAGAGGTCGTTTATGTCCACATCTATCCTTCCAAAAAAAGACTGAAGCTGCCCTGCACATATTCCCACAGTTCATTCTCCTGAAGATGGGGCTTATTCCACACAAGGCATTCCCAAAGCCTGCTCCGACTGCTGCATCGACACTTCCATCTCTAAATGGAGTTATCCTGAAGAAAATGCTTTTCAGGGCTGCATTCCCCAGTGGTTCATCCTATTCCAGACCAGGACATTAGGAACTTTTCCTCCTCTGTTATGGTGATCCCAGGATTTACAGCAAAACCCCCTGGAGTCTGATGCCAAACTTCCCTGGCCTGCATCTCATCCCATCTCCCACTCCAGCTTTGCCACCAGCAGATCCTCCCCCTTCCAGGGATGCTTCCCAGCCCTCCAAGGTTTCCTCAACGCCTTATTCTTTTCTGTGCCACTGTAAGTTCACACAATTTTGAACAAGGTTAGTTTTTAAATGGGCATTTTAGAAATTCCACCGTTATCCCTGAATCCAGAATTTCTTGGTCAGAGCTTCCCAGCGTTTCTTGCCTTTGGTCACTTCCTTCTCTGACACGTTTCCTTGCTTATCCCCCCACTTTGTCACCCTTCCAATCAGGCACAAAAGCAAATTCTTTGGAGAAACCCAGGCAGGTGAGGTCTCATCCCTCACTCTCCTCTTGGAGAGCACAGGATTGGAACCGATTCCAACTCACGGAGCCAGGAGCCAACGGGAGTATTGTCTGCGCATGCAAAAATAGGGAAGTGTTTACAACCTCCCTTCCTATTATCAGGCAGATTTAGGAGATAATAGAAGCAAAATAACCCAGGGAAGACCCCACACTGCTAATGGAATGATTATCCATAATTCCGGGAGGTGGGTGCTGGGAATAATGGCGCCACCACGGAACGTTCCCGAAAACCCTGCAACGCCCACGGGGAGAGAGAGGAAGTCTCCACAGCCAGAAAAATGACACAGCTCACAGCTCCTGCCACAAAGAGAGGAATGTTCCCCCACAGCCAAGAGGCAATTATCCCTCAGGATCATTAAAGGGCTGCGTCCCAGGCTCTCGTCTGGCTGCCGGAGGAAGCGGAGCCTCCAGAAATTTCTGGACATGGAGTTCCACCTAAAGAGCTCCTCATCCTCCTCGGCCTCTCCTGGCCTGAAGAGGTTTTAAAGCAAAAAAAAAAACCAAACCCTGAAGCAGTTTTAAAGACCTTTAGTGAATTAATGATTGAGGCTATGAGAAATAATGAAAGGCTGAGTCAGATCTCGCTGCAAAGGTCCGGATCCCTCCGAGCGCAGCAAATCCGCAGGCATGGAAAATTACCTCTGGACACGGTACACGCGAGTCCAAGGGGGGACAAGGGCCAGGATTCGGGCCACCAGATCCACCAGGGTGCTGGGGGGGTAGCTCTTGTATCTCCCAGTTTTCCAGAGCTCGTACAGGCCGGTGCCACGGATCACCAGGGTCGGGTAGAGCTTCATCCCGTCGGGGCGAAAAGCGGGATTCTCGAAAAACTCCTGCGGGAACGGAACAAAAAAAAAAAAATGGGGGTCAGGGCAAAAGAAAGAAACTACGTTTCTTCCCCGAGCTTCGAACAAAACTGATTTCCAGAGGGGTTTTTGCAAAAGGTAATTTTAAGTGCGTTTGAAGAATTCCTGGGTTGGGAGCGTTTATCAGCTCGCGGCGGGTTTGGAAACGAGAGGAGCGTGTTCTGGGTTTGAAAAAAGAAAAAAAAAAAGACATTAAGGGAGGAAAAAAAAAATAAAATTAATCCACATGGCAACACCGAGAGAGTCAAATCTGTGCCTTGCTCGTACCTTTCAGCAGGAATTCAATAGATATTGCAGCATTTATTGTAACAGACTGTGCTCGGAATTAGAACAATAGGAATGAGGGTACTTATCTCCCATCTCAGCAGGGCCACACTTAGAGATTAATCAATGTGTCTGGGCCACATCATTTGAATAGCAATGAAGAAAAACAGATTTATTCTGCAATGATGTTCTCAACAGGCCCAGGGAAACGGCAGGATGAAGTGCAGCTCCTGCTTTATTCCTGCTTTATTCCGTTCTGCGCCGCCAACGGAGCGGCTCCGGCTCGCGTGTCGGGGTTTTTTTCCGCAGATTAAATTTCCAGTGATGACAATTAAAATAAAATCACTTGCAAAGGGGAGAAAAAAAATAAACTCCAAAGGCCCCCCCCCCCCCCGAACCAAGCAAGCATTAAATTAAGTGATGACACGGCCTCGCTGCAACGGGATCCGCGGGCCGGGGCTCAGGTTGGATTAGACCGTGGAACACTTGATATCCATGGCTTGATCCCTCTCTCCAGCATGGGATTCTCACAGGAATAAAAACCCACACAGGTTTGTTAAGGTGAGTTAATGGTTGGTGTGCGGTCTCACCAGTTGCTGCTGAAGTGCTTCACCAGTTATCCAGAATCATGGAATGGTTTGGGTGGGAAGGGACTGTAAAGCTCATCCAGTTCCAACTCTGACATCTCCCACTATCCCAGGTTGCTCCAAGACCCATCCAACCTGGTCTTGGACACTTCCAGGGATCCAGGGGCAGCCACAGCTTCTCTGGCAATTCCAGCTAAAGCTCCTCCCCACCCTCCCAGCCAGGAATTCCTTCCCAATCTCCCATCTCTCCCTGCCCTCTCCCAGTGGGAAGCCATTCCCTGTGTCCTGTCCCTCCAGCCCTTGTCCCCAGTCCCTCTCCAGCTCTCGTGGAGCCCCTTTAGGCTCTGAAAAGGGTCCAAGGTCAAACTGGATCCTTCTCTTCTCCCGGCTGGACACCCCCAGCTCTCCCAGCCTGTCTTCATTCCCGTGGCCCCGACCCACTCGGATAATTTGCTACATTTCCCACTCCTGGCATGTGTTAAACCGTCCCTTCAACAAGACAAAACCCACCAAAATGGACCTCCTCACACTCCAGGGGATGCTGGATCCACCACCCAGATGGGAAGGAGGTCAGAGATGTGGCAGGACCACAGCAGCCCAGGTTGTTCCTGACTCTCTCCCTCTCCCTGCCCAAGCCAGCGCCAGCTCCAGCAGCCCCCGCCCCTGGCATTCCAGGGGCACCCTGGGCAGCTCCAGGGAAACACAGAGCTGGGAGCCAAGCCAGCTGGAAAGCAGAAACAGGGAAAGAACAGCTTTTCCAGGCAGATCAACCTCCAGAATCATTAGGACACAGCCTTACAGAGAGATGGGGACAGATGAGGTAGTTTAAGAAACCAAACAAGATCTGGATCAGGGATAAAGTCATGGAATCATGGAATGGTTGGGTTGGAAGGGACCTTAAAGTTCTTCCAGTTCCTGACACCTTCCGCTATCCCAGGTTGCTCCAAGCCCTGTCCAACCTGGCCTTGGACACTTCCAGGGATCCAGGGGCAGCCACAGCTTCTCTGAGCAACCCGTGCTGGGGCCTCCCCACCCTCATCCCAAACAATTCCTTCCTCATATCTAACCCTAAAATCATCGCCAGTTGTAGGGACAGGACACAAATGACTCATTTGAGGCCCTCTGGGCTGGCTGGTGCTGCAGCTCCAGGGGCAGGAGATGGGATGGATCTATGCCCCACCCACACTTCCAGCTCCCAGCCTCATGCCAGCTCGGATTCCTGATGGATCCTTGACCGGGATGAGTCACCTCACTAATGTGACAGAACCCAACACGTGTTTTTTTGGGGAGAATCCTCCTGTTTTGTTGGGCTGGGTTGGAGAACCCAGCTGGGTTATGGGGAATGCAGAGTTGGAAGGGATCCATGAGAATCATGGAGTCCAACTCCCAGTAAGGAACCGAGGTCAGAAACGGGATCTGGCAGCAGGAGACCATCACCTCTGTTTAATGGATCTCCTGAAAACATGGGAATTCCCCTCTGCTCCAAGGGTTCAGGCTGATTTCCAGGTGGGTCCAGTGGCTGTCAAGGAAGGCTGGCATTCCCTGCCCTTGGCTGACCACCAATCCCACTCCTGAGGAGCATCCGATGCTCCAGACGCAAAGAGAGAGGGAAAACACAAATCCCTGCCCTGATTCTGAAGCCGGGCAGGTGCAGTGGGTGCGTAACACGAAGCCGTACGAGGTCAGAGAAGCGATTCCGAGTCCTCTTGTTCCCTAAACAACCCACACGCCCCGAATTCCACCTTCCGTGGGCGGAAAACAAAGGAGGAATGAGAAGATGGTGCGTGAGGGGACTGCTCTGACCAAGGACATTAAGGAAAGGAAGCGACGCTGCTTCTCCAACGAGGTACAAGAGGTACCTCAGCCACTCCAGCGGGGAAAACAAGGGCTCCCAGGGAGGTCGTGTGATAATATTCCCCACAGTCCTGAGCACAAAAGCCTGTGTGATTCACCCAGGCAGAGCCCTGATTCACCAGGCAGACGGGAGGAGGAAAGAGAGGTTAAAACCACCCAGCCCAGGCAAGGTCAGGAGGGAAGGTTTCCAATCCCACCCGGAATTTTGTCACTTCGCGCCCTCTGCACCTTTGACGTCAGCGCCCGGAGCCGCCCGACGGCGCCGCTTCACACCCCGGCAACGCCGGCCTTCGGAAAAAAATCCACGGGTTTTCCTGTTTATCCCTTCAGTTCTGAGTTTAACCCTTAGACTCAGCCCTGTTTAATGTCTTTCCTGATGAGGGGATGAGGGGATGGAGTCCCACCATCAGCAAATGTGCAGGTGACACCGAGCTGGGGGCAGTGTGGATCTGCTGGAAGGCAGGAGGGCTCTGCAGAGGGACCTGCACAGGCTGGATCCATGGGCTCATTCCAACGGGATGAGGTTCCACAAGGCCAAGGGCCAAGGGCCAGGTCCTGCCCTTTGGCCACAACAACCCCAGACTGGCACAGAGGGGCTGGAGAGCAGCCAGGCAGGAAGGGAGCTGGGAGTGGGGATGGACAGGGAGCTGAACAGGAGCCAGAGTGTGCCCAGGGGG